GAAGGAAGGAAGGAAGGAAGGAAGGAAGGAAGGAAGGAAGGAAGGAAGGAAGGAAGGAAGGAAATGACATGTTGTTTCTAACTGGAACATTTCTGTGTGAAGATGGTTTGGTCTTGTAGATTTGAGTTGCTAAATAACTACAAGGATTTAAAGGTATACATTTAATTATTAATGAAAGAGACAAAATGTATGTCAGGATTGGTTTCAAGGTTGCATAAGAAAGTCAAAATCTGGGGAAAGTTCCACAACTTTCTAAATAAATGGAATGGTGGGGGGATTATAATGCTAGGTGATATAAATGGACATATGAGACCAAGATGCGTACAAACAAAATATGATTGAGCTACTGTGAGTTACAAAAATGAATCAGAATGATAATTGGTGTGTATCTGCCTAGAAAAGGGTCTCTTCTGAACACATGATTCAAATATAAATAAAACTATGGCAAAGAAATGAATTACAGATCTAAAAGCATTATTAATTTGATTGTAATGAAACATTGAGAGAAATAGTGAGGATACATGGATAATAAGAGATTCTGAATGTGAGACCGAATATTTTTTTTGTAACATCAAGAGTAGTCTTTGGAAAAAAATAGATACAGAAGAAAAGGAAAGAAGTGAAAATACTAGAGTAAAAGTAAAATGACTACAGGAAGAGAAAATACAAGTCCTGCATGAAAATGTATTAGAAAATAGATTAATCCCTCAACAGAATGAATAAAAAATGAATACAAGGGAATAGGATGTAAGCTGCTTCAAACAGAGTGAAAAGAATTATAGTAATGAATGGAATGTTTGTGATTATTGGTTAATCTTATTTGAATCTGCTTTTTGGCCATTTTCAGTTATATAAAAATCATTTCAATGCACAACACAATTGTAAATAATGTACAAAATGCAACATTTTGACAATAAACCAATTGCCATCAAACAGTACAAAGAAATTTCAGTTAAATGTGGACAGATCATGTGATTGCTCCTTCATCGAGATGTCACATGGCCTAAGGCAGTGTTTCTCAACCTTGGCAACTTTAAGATGTGTGGACTTCAATTCCTAGAATTCCCCAGCCAGCCCACATATCTTAAAGTTGCCAAGGTTGAGAAACACTGGTCTAAGAAATCCAGCGTTTCATGTCCTTCTAAGTTCAGTGCTTTTTTCTCCAAAGGCTTTTGGGCTGGCTACTTCCATTTCAGTTCTTCTTTTTATATTTGTAGGCTTCAAATACTATGGTTTTCATATTTTCCTAGAGTGGTCTGTTATAGCACATTAGGCAACTCAACTCCACTTTTTTGGTACTTAGGTTTTTTGATGCAGTCCAACATTCTTCTAATTTGGTCGTCAATGTCCATCCTATTTCTCCTATGTATACTTTCTTGCGGGGTGACAGAGGTATCCAAAAAATGCTACCTTTCTGCAGGTTTTTGGGGAGCTACTTTGTTCAGGCATTTTTGTCCTGTGCTTTTGAATTCTCCAGATCTTTTCTGTGTATTTACTGATTTATTGCATTTATTTCTCACTACAGTCACTCGTGTGTGCGCGTGTGTGTGTTTGGTGTGTGTGTTATTAAACATTTTAGAGAAAATATATAAACTGGGAAAGGAAAAAGAATAAGAGTAGGATACAAACAAATAAACAATAGATTTACAAATGTTATAGAGATTATAAATT